ATTTTTTTTAAATTGTTTTTGGTCTATAACTAGTCCTAAAGTGATTTTTTTCTGTGCATTTGAGAGCCGCATTTGTGAGTAGTTTTGGTTTGACATCAAGCGGGATTCCTCTGTTGTGTACACGGACGGACGGACGGACGGAAGTGACGTCAGCCAAGCCATGAAAAATCAACTCGATGGATAACCATTTTTTCGTAAGTATGGTGCTCTGCTCGCGGAGGCTCCTCTATTAATTTTCATCTTCAATAGCGGAGCACCATACTTAAGAAAAAATGGTAAACCATCGAGTTGATTTTTTTTGTACGTACGTCCGTGTACACAACACAGGAACAAGTTATGAGTTGTGTACAAAATTCCGAAGTGAGAGGGTATACTCGCGCAAAAAAAAAAACAATGTAGTGCATTTTTATTCAATTTCAATGCATGGTTTTTATTATGGGACAAATTATCTTCATCTCGAATAAAAAATGATTGAAGATTTTTTTCTCATATTTTTACCTTTCAGTTTCATTCAAATTGTTCTCCCTGTGGCTTCAGTATCGGGAGCTTCGCTTTTAGGCAGTGCCTAAATATATATATATTAATATTTAATGAGGATACTTCACTTAGGTTGTTCCTAATTCGATCAATGGACCTTCCGCTTAGTCACATTAAGGAAATCTACCCATGAAATAAAATATTTGTAAATCCTTCCAAAATGACCCCGTAATACCCCATGTTTCGTCAATGTATCGTGAATATATTCCATTCAATTTCAAGACAGTAACAATGCTAATCAAGGATGCTATGATAAACTCAACACGGAAGCTAAAGGCTTCGGCACTTGTGATCCAGTATCTAACTCTTCCTGTGCGACGAGGTGAGTAATAGACATTCAGTCAGCATGCGTAAGTCAAAAAATATATTCTAATTTTACCGATACTCCGAAACAACCTCTGAGCTAACCAAAATCAGGGGATGGCTACTTCCTGATGCAATTAGAATTTAGCATGTTAGGTTTTGCAGAGGGAGGAAAACTGGAGAACCCGGAGAAAACCCTTGAATCAAGGGAGAGACCTAACAAACTCTACTCACCTGTGATGCCAAGTCCAGGAATCGAATCTAAGGCCCGAGTGGTGAGAGGCGAGTGTAATAAAACTACACCATCGTTGATGAAGTTTCGAGTCTTTTCATGAAATCAAAGATGTTCCTTTTTAGTACCAGCCATTTATTCGCTGGTAAACTTTACTGAAAAAAATCTTACCATTTTTCTTCAAGCAATGTTCGCTGTGGTCAGATACAGTGTTTGTCAAACAGAAACACCCCTGTAGAAGACTACGGAAAAACGTACCAAAAGTTCACGCTTGATGCCTCTACTCAATGCAGGTACTACAAAGCACTGGCGTTACTCTATTTTGTCACGCAAGTACATAAAAAATCCTATTGTACCATCTATTGTCAAGAGTAAAGCTTTACGCGTGACTGTGATTTTTCCAGTGCGGCTGTACTTAAAACTAACTCTGACTTCCTTGGTCTTGGTATGGTCAACGATGGAACGAAGTGCGGCGACCAAAAGGTACAAATGATTCGCAAACATTTAGTCTTCTAAAAATAGCTCGTAATAAAAATGTAAGGACAAGAAAATCCTGTATTGATGGTTTTCACGGCCGCCATGTTGGATGAATTCAACAAAAGACTCGTCATTAGTCTCTTTTGTTATATCATCCAACATGGCCGCCGTGTCTTTTGTCTTTTGGGAATGATCGAAAACCAGCAATAGACCCCCTGAAGCACGTCGGAATGCAGCTCAATTTGAAGGACATAACAATAGGTTTCCAATTCTCTTTAGATTGAAATTATTTTATTTTGTCCACCAAATTGAGCTGTTTTGTCGAGGGGTCTATATCAGAAGGTTGCTAGTAAGTCAATGGATAGGCCAAGTAAAGCATGCGGATCTCTACTTGTAAGAGACTTTTAGACTTTTTTTTCGTCACTAAGTATCATTTTATTTTGTAGATGTGTAGCAACTACGAGTGCAAGTCGTTTGCAGAGCTGAACATTAAACCTTGCCAGACGGTTAATGGCCAAGAGTGTAATGGGCAAGGAGTAAGTATTCGAAAAATGTAAATCAATCCTACACTAAGAATGAAATATAAGAACTTACCGAGTGTCTTTACTTCATAGGTGTGTACAAACACAGGCGTATGTCATTGTGATGCTGGATATGATCCCGCTTCAGCATGCGTCAATGGTAACGGAATATATCAATGTGAACCTAATAAACTGAAGGAATAAAATAAACATTAAAAGACGCCTCTTAAAATCAAATTTAAATTGCGCTAATCAAACTTTGGAATTTAAAATTTCCAAAATGCTCTCTTAAATCTGATTTCACTTCATTTTTTTCCTCTGAAAAGCTCTGATACCACGTGATGGTGGGTATGGCGCGTGGTCTGCTTGGTCCACGTGCACTGCAGGGTGTAACGGAGGCACACAAAATCGACATCGATTCTGTAATAATCCATTTCCAACGCACGGCGGCAAAGATTGTCAAGGAGAAAGACAGCAACAGCGTGATTGCAACACGGATGCTTGTCCACGTAAGTTCTTGCTACTTTTTCCCTTCAATTAGTCCTTGTTATATCACTAGTTTCTCTCATAAGTTCAATTTCCAAAGTTAGCCTTATGAGAATAGATCATTTGCGAGTTCCAAATTACCGCTGTGTTCCTTGATTACAGACTATTTACTCAGGGTTAGTCTCTAACCAGTGTCTAAATATTTACAAATACCATCGGAGAATTAAAAAACGCACAACAATACAAACACTTTGAAATTCCACGGAGTTTCACTCGAACACATGAATATTCTACACAAAATCGAGGCTAACCCTGAGCAACAGAGAAACGGCATACTCATAACTGACATTTTGGGCGTTAGCTTTTCGTAGCAGTAGAGACGTCCTAGGAAGTCCTACACTTCATGGAAAGAGAATAATTCTTTTCTTTCAAAAAGGCTATCGTATTTTCCATATAATTAAAGAAGAACCAACTTGTTAACAAAGAGTTTTCAAACTGTTTCAGGTGCTCATTCTTGTCGTCAACTCCAGAAAATTGCAACGACAGAAAACAAGTATATTCCTGACGGAGTATACGCGATTTACCCCTATGGCGTTGATAAAGATCCAATCAAAACCTACTGTGACATGTCACGTGATGGTGGTGGATGGACGCTATTGGTCACAAGCCACACCAATAGTTGGACGTCCCAAAATGTGAGACTAAGGAACCAAGATTCTCCATCTTTGACAAGCGATTATTCAATCCTAAACTATGCTGATGATATCAAGAACAATTTAAATGTCGTTGGTTCAAAATTTGAGTATCGTTTAGAAGCGCAAAGCAGAGGTTAGCTGCATCATCTCTTTTACATTTATATCTAAAATATGTTTAAAATATATAAAGAATCATGTCCTGTGATTGGCCAGAATATAATCTAGTGTCCAATCAGAGCTAGTATACACGAGACGATGAAGCATTTGCTATATAGATATTTCGACAATTGAAATACAAAAGACATATACATATATGTGGAAATCATAAAATTGCAGACTTTTTTTGGTTAGGTGTGTATATATACAGCCAAAAATTATGGCCGCTTCCAATATATATACAAGTATATCAAAAGCATATCAAAGATTATGGGATACATCCCCAATATTTTTTTCGAGTTGTCTATCACTAGGGCTTTCTGAAAAAAATATCAAGAAAGATATCCCGTCGTGTCTGATATACTTATATATGTATAGTTTAAACTAAATCAAGACTTTTGGAATTGATTCATTGTTTAATGCAACAAATCTGTTTCGTATGATCGCAATGACCACACTCATCAGGCAAGTTACAATGAATGACCAACGGTTGATTTAGTTTAAACTATATTTACTGCTCCTTTAATGTTGAGCACTCTAGAAAACTATTCTACGAAAATAAGTTAAGTATGTATATATATATATATATATATTCAAGAAAATGACATATGGTCTGAAATAGGAAGACATTTTGCCCTAAAATTGTCTATTTGAACATAGATGATCAAGTCATTAACTGAGTTGTTTTTGAACCTTTTAGGACGATGGGGTGGAATATGGGAAGCTGATCGATCCTACACCTTCACGGCAACTACTAATGGACAAACAAATGTCCAACTGATAAAGAAATTTGATAACTGGAATTATGCCAATAATGGAATAGAGAAACGAATGCCTTGGATCTCAGGAGCAAAGCTGACTACATCCGCGAAAGCTAATTCGAATTGGTGGGGCACAATAACGGGTATGTACACCTAACATAACTGCTTTCGGAAATATCTTCCTTAAAAAGAATTGTTGTTCCTAAACTAGCTGAATATACTAATCTTACGATTATAAAAAGTTTTAAAATAATTGTTATACTTTTTGTTTGCTTATTGTTAACACACAGCTGACGCTCACATTTACTATTTTTTTTATCTGTATCTGCGGCAAAACGTGCAACGTGCCGAAAGAGCCCTTCTTTCAAGGTGCGATAATACGGACAATATCGTGCAACTTGTCACGCATCAACAATGTTGCATTTCAAGTTGCAGAGCAAATTTTACTCGTATTATCACACCGCGCGCAACAAATTTTCATTATTGCTATTGTAGAGAGATTTTGTACTTCGTATAATGCACGATTTTCTTACGACTAAGAGCGAAAGCTCTCTCACAATAGAAAACGTGCATAAGATTTGGCCATTTTTTTTACTAGCGAATGAAAAAAGCTACCATCCTGCGCCATGGATCAGGGGACATTTTATGGAACAACAGCCCGAATATATTTGGTACTGGGTGCGTGAAGGACCATGGAAGTTACCAAGATCTTGTATGGAAGTACAGATGAGAGGTCTACAAACGACTCCGCCAAAAGGTAATAATTGGAAGAACAATGTCATCTAATGGCAAATAGACCTCTTCGTGCGTAATGTTTTGTCCATTTCAAACCACGTGCCATTCCCTTGAGTATAATTTCTTTCTCTAGCTAAAGAGGTCTAATAAACCATAATAAACCTCAAAGATCCTCTTAATCTCTTCCATAATATATACCAGCTTTATTTTGGATSGAAGGGTCTATGATTACGCGTATCAAAATGCTCGTTTATTTGATGTCGAGGAATCATTGATCATTGCCCCGCATCAAGGGAATCAAAGATGGTTCAGTAAGAGTGCACTCGCCTCTCGCCTCTCGCCTCTCGCCTCTCGCCTCTCGCCTCTTGGGTCTTAGGTTTGACGATACATCCTGGTCTCGAGATCGCATGCAAGTAGAGTTTGTTGGATCTATCCTTTGATTCGATGGTCTTTCTCCGTATCTCCTATTTTACTCCATCCGCAAAACCTAGTTCACCCTGACTGGATCCGCTCTGAGGCTGACTATAAACTAATTAACTTTTCATTAGACGGAGTTTACTCAATCAAGCCTCCTGGTAAGAAAGAAGTGAAGACCTACTGTGACCTGGCAAGTCAAGGTGGTGGATGGACATTACTAGTAACGAGTAAAACACACACAGGATGGTCAGTGGACAATGTGAAAAACAGGAATTCCAACCAACCGTCACTAGACGCTGATTACTCTATCCTTGAGTTTGCAGATGCCATTAAGGATTTCGATGTCTCTCAAGTAAGTCGTACTTCTTAGCGGCCTGTAAGTAATGGCACGCACATCCCTAGAAGTCAACCAAGTGAATCCAAATCTCAATTGATGCGTGCTGCTTGTTGTCCAATTTTCTTATCTAAAATCCAGTGTCATCGGTCAGTTAGCCGTACCCTAGCTTTGATCAGCCCAGATGTTGTTTCAGCGTTCGATCTGTGAGTTAGCCGTACCCCGTTTTTGATCAACCTAGAGGTTGTTTCAAGTTATAACATTAAAAGATAGTAATTCCAAATAGCCTCTTTGAACATCGAAATAATCTTCCAGTTTCATTCTTTTCAATTACGTCATAGTGCAGTACTCAAGCTACGGCACCCTCACATACGTTGCAGATTAGCCAGTCACAGCGCGCATAATACTCTAGCTGTGTCATACAGTTTATAACGTTCCCCAGCTTCGTGATGAAATGAGACCCCGAATTAATAATTTCGATTTTTTCTAAGGATTCCTTTCAGTATCGTATCGAAGCTGATGGCTCCAGCCAGTATGGTGGCATCTTCGTTGCACCAAGGGAGTACACATTTACCTCAACTCGTGACAAGCAAACAAATGTTAAAATGGTCGAGAACTTCAATGGCATTGACAAAAATACAAATCTAGTCAGGCGAATGCCAAGACTTGCGCTGTCAGCCAACATTTTCTTGAGTTCAGGCTCAATAGCAAATGACTCATCTGGGTCCATTATTTACGCCGATGGATCAGCAGAATCACCATCATATTTACCAGACGTAAAGCCAAACCCTGGAGTTGTCAGATATTGGATGAGGGAAGGAACAAGGTACGGTTACCTAATGCTGAATGAGTATGAGTTACTGAATTATTTCTAATTTGATCTATCGGCTGCCTTATCAAGTGCAATGGGTTACAAGAACTGTTAAGGGTTCCACCGTTCAGCATGGAGTCGTAAATCTCATAAGATAGTGTGCCAGTTATTGATGCTGTTGAAGTATTTGTTGTTGTCGTCATTGTTTTTGTTGTTGTTATCCAAGAGTATAGTCATATAATGATAATGGTTAAAAGAAGGAACAAGGTGCTAGATGCTGAAGAAATTGTTCTCTTTGAAAGAAGTGAGTTATTGCTGCTGTTGTCTTCATTGTTGTCGTTATTATTTTTGTTTCCTGTCTCGCTATCGTTGTCACTACTGTAATTGTGGTATTTGCGAGAAGAATAAAGGCATCCCAGAAAAACATCATCTTGACACTTTGTTTTAAAGTTTCTTTTGGAGAAGGAACCTTTTTTCAATTCAAAATTTTACAATAACTTACAAAATTTCTCGCGCGCGGATTGGTTATTTTTTATCATCAATAAGAGAACAGACAGCTCGCTCTCTTTCGGCTACGCCTCGTGGACCCACACTACTTTGACAATGTGATGACGCAATTTATCATCAATAAGAGAACAAACACATAAAAAACTGATGTCTATTTGTTAGATACAGAAAGTATTTTGGCTCATGCCAAGGCAATCACTGATGCACATACTTGCAGTGATAACCTAATATTGCACCTTTCTTCCCTAGACGTTCTTGCAATGATATCAAGGTCCATGGCACGAGATTGTCAAGAAAATATGAAGATGATTATTACATGATACGTCTTGTCAACGAGTCCACGTACTTTCCTGTATTCTGTGACATGACGTCAGATCTTGGTGCATTTACTTTGGTGGTTACAAGTCGCCATAACAACTGGACACGTGACCAAGTACCAGCCAGGTGAGCTACACTATAATTTCTTACTTGACAAAGTGCATTTCTGGAACACAACATTTATTCACAACTCTCTTATACTTTCGAGTTTAATTATAGATATATTCTCTGCTGTTAGAAGTTTGTTGGGATTGTCCATGTTCTTCATAAACTGGCCAAACTGACCGAAAATATTTTGGTCGATTATTAAATTGGTTTACATGAACGCAGAAGGGTAGAAGGCAAAGAGAGATGCCACAATAATTGATAATTTTTATCCGCCACTTTTGAATGTGAAGAAAATATGCTGCTTGACATCTAATGGGGCCATGTAGTTACGTTTAAACAAGGTTCAAATCTTTTCCAATTTTCATTTAAGGGAGAATCGAATTTCCGGGTTTTTGTAAGTTGTTTTTGTTTTTTATTGAAAAGTCACTTCTTTATGCAGAAACGTATACCGACCATCAACCTCAGATGATTACTCAATCCTAAAGTACGCAGACCTGATCAAAAACATGGGACATAATACCACATTCAAATACAAATTGGATGCAAACCAGCGGGGACACTGGGGAGGAGTGTGGAGTGCACCACGTGACTACAGGTTAGGCAAACTATATCCTTTCTATCGACATATTCTTTGCCTTTTTATTTCTTTGACTGTTTGCCACGACTTTTATCTCGTAAATAAAAAAATCAGAAAGACAAAGCAAATAGACTTTGAAATATCTTTACGTTTCACAAACTATTGACGATAAACGGTTTGAAATGGCCTTTTCTGTGCGGACAATACTCCAAACAACCAGTGAGAGTGCTCAATATATCCCCAAAGTGTCTAATTGTCTTTTACATAAAAGCGAGTATGTTTACTAATTTCCACTCATCAACAGCTTTATGTTCACCTCTACTTCACAAACACAAGTAACCCTACTTCAGAAATTCGATGCATGGACATTATCCKGGTGGAGATCGGTGCAGAATAGGATGCCATGGTTTGATGCCAACGGGCAATCCAACAAGGCCCTTCTGACAACTTCTAGCAGCACCACCTATTACCCAGCTGGATCCATTATTTGGGGTGACACGGATAGACACCCAGCAGAGTGGATACGTGACGGAGGCATGATAAATCCTGGGGTCATTTGGTATTGGGTTAATGAAGATGACTGTGACTTGGACAGACAGCCTGGTAATGTTATTTCGTTGGTGTTAATAAACATTTTGTTCTTTCATTAGAAAATGAATTTCATTTTCTTCATCGAACGGGTTCGTTAAAATTTGTTACAAATTTGTTTTAGGAAATGGAAAAACATTTTAAGTATTTGGATCATCATTAACAATATTTACATTAGAACCATCATTATTCATCATGAACCAACGAGATTAATAAATTTATGTGAGTCAATTCATTGACTGGGATATAATTAGGAAGGTGACAACTAATGTCAGCACACACCTTTATTAGTTCTGTTCCCAATAAAGAAGTAGGAATGATATTAAAAAACTAACATCGAGGAGAAATTTGAGCACATTTGTAGGTGTTTTTTTTTTTTTTTAGAAATTTGTACGTCGAATTTTCGATCGATAACAAGTCGATAACAGGACCAAGGACCGTGAAACGATTTGATTGCCTCCGAATACTATCTGAAAATATGTCAACTTACTTACTTACAAGACGATGACATAGTAGCTACGCCTCAAGGCAGTAGCTATAAAAAAAGAAATACGGTTGGGCCCAATTATTTCCATAAAACATAAGACTAATACGTCCAACAATTAATAGAGTATGAACTGTATACTTTTGTTATAGTTGATGGTGGCCTTTCCGAATGGAGTGCTTGGGAGAAATGTGACAAACTTTGTGCAGATGGCAAACAAGTTCGCCGTAGGACTTGTACCAACCCCGAACCCAGATGTGGAGGTCTCCTGTGTAGTGAATCCGAAAAGACAGTGGAGGAAAAACCTTGTTACACGTGCCCAGGTAATTTTCTTCGAATTTATCAATACCTTGAAACAACCTGTGTACTGATCAAAGTAAGGGTATGACTAACTCACAGCTCGAATTGGACTTGTCTGAGATTTTTAGGCAAGGGAAAACCGGATAACCATATTTATTGCATTGTTACATACACTTCTTCATAATTAATCAACTTAGATGCATATTATTTTTACTAAAATCTAGATGTTAGGTATTTTTCTTCGATAATTCACAACTAGTCCTCGTTTATTTGTGTATTCCTTTACTCTTCATAGAAAGTCCTATTCGGAGCTACGGTGGATATTGCGTTCAGCCCAAGAGCGGTGACTGCAACCCTAAAGAAAACACAACCACGTGGAGCCACGCCCTAGTTTTTAGAAGAGTCGATGCGAATTGTTCTGCCGATTACATGAACTTCGTTTTTGACGCGGATGGCATGATTTATCACAAATGCAGTGGGAARATCGTCTGTCCTGATGGTAAGACCGTCATGCTTAATAGCTCTCTTAAAACATCCCATATACACGTCTTCTAACAATACCACCATAAACACTTGGTCCTCTAACAAATACCAACAAAAGGACTTGGTCCTTTAACAGATACCCAAAAAAAGTTCTTGGTCCTTTAACAGATACCACCAAAAG